AGATTTATCCATGTTGCTGCACATACTGGTAATTCATTCTTTTTCATTGCTGTATAGTATTCCATTGTATGGACATACAACAATTTTCCTGTTACTGGACATTTATGTCCTGCATTTTGGCTCCTGTGAATAAGTTGCTATGAACACTATGCTGTGCTGGCCAGTTAGCTCACTAAGGTAGAGCATTCTGCTGATAACACCAAGGTTAAGGGTTCAGATCCCCATACCAGCCAGCTGCCAAAAAAATAAATAAACATGAACATTATGCTATGCACATATCTTTTGGCTCACTCACTTCTCTTGGGTCTATACTTAGGAGTTTGATTATTGTGTCATAATATAGGTATATGTTTACCTTTAGTCTATTACTGCCAGATTGTTATGGCAATTTACAGTCCCTCTCCACCTCCCAGCAATGTATCAGAATTTCACTAGCTCTGCATCCTCACCAACATTTGGTGTTGTCAGCCTTTCTAATTTTAGCCATTCTGGTCAGTGGTTTATTTTATTTTTATTTTTTTATCTTTTTGGTGGGTGGTTTAAATTTGCATTTCTCTCAGGTAATTTTGCACAATTTTTCATATGCTTATTGATAATGTGGGTATCTTCTTTTTTTTTTAATTTTTTTTTTTTTTAAAGATGACCGGTAAGTGGATCTTAACCTCTGATTTGGTGTTGTCAGCACCACGCTCTCCCAAGTGAGCTAAATGGCCATCCCTATATAGGGATCTGAACCCATGTCCTTGGTGCCATCAGCACCACATTCTCCCAAGTGAGCCACAGGCCGGCCCTTACTTTTTATTTTTATTTTTTTGGTAGCTGGCCAGTATGGGGATCCAAACCCTTGACCCTGGTATTATGACACCATGTTCTAACCAACTGAGTAGCTGGCCAGCACCCAGTATCTTCTTTTTGTGAAGCTGGTGGTATCTCCTCTCCAAAGATGACCTCAAGTGAACCATGCCTCCTACTATTCATGCCCTTTGTAGTCCCTTCCTTCATTGAATTGGGGCTGGGCCGTGACTCACTTTACCCAATAGAATGCTACAGAAGTGATGCTGTGTAGTTCCAGGCCTGAGCCATAAGAAGGCATGAAAGCTTCTGCTTTTGAACTCTCAGGAGTGTTGAGCCACCAGTGAGAAGTTTAGCCAACCTGCTGGAGAGGCCATGTAGAGTGACCACACAGAGAGGAGAGGTGTTGAGACTACACGGAGCAGAGAGGCCCCACCATCCCAGCTGCATCTGACTGCAACCACATGAGAGACACTGAGCAAGACCAGCAGAAGAACCACCCCCTGGAACCTAATCACCCCACAAAACCATAGAAGATAATAAAAGGGATTTTGTATTAAGTCACTAGGTTTTGGGGTGGTTTATTACATAGCAATAGATAACTGAAACAATGTCTTTTGCCCTTTCTTTAAAATTGAATTGTCTGGGGCCGAGCCCGTGGTGCACTCGGGAGAGTGCAGCACTGGGAGCGCAGCAGCGCTCCCGGCTGCGGGTTCGGATCCCATATAAGGATGGCCAGGGCGCTCACTGGCTGAGCGCAGTGCAGCCGGTCTCAAAAAAAAAAAAAAAAAAAAAAAATTG